AGCCTGGTCCTCTACAGCTTCTCCTGTTTTCTTACACCTCATTCCCTTCGGTACACTCTCCAGTCTAGTGACATCGACCTCCTTGTTCATTGAACAAGAATTGCGCTCCAGCTCTCGGCTCTGGGTGCTTTCTCTGGCTGCCCTCCACCCCCGGAGTGCTCTCCCCCTCATCTCCACTTCCTGGTTTCATTCAAGTCTCAACCCAAATTCCACCTTCTGCAGGAAGCCATTCTCAGTCACTCTTAATTTGAGTGCCTTCCCGCTGCTAAGTATTCCTATTTATCCTGCTTTGCTTACTGCTGTCCCCCCCATTACACTGTAAGCTCCTTGAGGGCAGGGACTGTTTTGGTCTCTTTTTGGGCCCTGCTCAGCACACCGTAGGTTCTTAAATGGATTGTCGATTGGCTAGTCGACTGCATGAGGACCAAGTTGGGCGACGCAACCTTGCAGTGTGCGAATTGGCAGTTGTGAAGCTTCTCCGGGCTTCTTTCGGCGGCGTAGGAGCAGTAGACGCGGAGGCAGGTGGGGGGATGAGCCGAGGTAAGCAAGAGAAGAGCAGCACTAGGACTTGGGAGTTGCATGTTCTTCACGCATCTCCAGTCAGGCGTGTTCCAGAGAAAACTTGTTTTCTCCCTCCTAACTCCGCCCCTCCTCCAATCGGACCAGTTCCTTTTGAGTGGACCACCGTCCTTGCGTTCACTGAGGTGCGCTGCCTCCTCCCTCTCCCTGCACAACCCGCTTCTTTCCACTCACACGGACACTCTCAAGTTCAGCCTCCTCACGGCTCCCCCGGACCATTACAGGAGCATTCTTCTTGGGCTGCCTCAACTGTCTCCCCTCTGCCGGTGCACCCTTCATCCAGCTGCCCGAGGGCAATTCTCAAAGCACAAGTCTATCCCTGCCACTCCCTTTTGTGTTCGATAAAACTCTTTCCTTTGCTCTTAAGGCCTTTCACTGCCTCACTCCAACCGACTTTCTAGGTTTATTAGACCTGACTCTTTCCTGCACTCTTTCCAGTCCCTACAAATGGCAGGCCTTCCATCTGGGCCTTTTCATAGGCTAGCCATCCCCACCCTTCACATCTCTTCTGCCTTCCACCTCGGAGAGTCTCTAGTTCAGGGGTGGGGAACCGCCCTCTAGATCCTCAAGTGCGGCCCTTTGAATCCAAACTTCACAGAACAAATCTGTTTAGATTCAGTCTTGATACCTGGAGTGCCGCCACCTGAAATTCGCTTGTATTTATTTTGTGTGTGCTTTGTATGTTGTGTCTAAGTGTATGTGTGTGTGGTGGGAGGTGGGGAATGATGGCCACCCACAATGCAGGACTTCCTATCTCTCACGTAGAGTGTTGGACACCTACTTAATCTCTGGCTTGGCTTGTTCACTCCATCCTGCTCTCATTGGGAAACCTTGGGGTTTCCAGAGGTCTACCAGCACACCTGGGAACTCAAACTCTTCCAGGGTTCTAAGGAAGCACTTTCTGAGAATACATTCTCCTTGCCACTGTGGGGATAAAACTTACCCAACCTGCAATGAGAGAAATTGAGGCAGAGCTCTAAGCCAATGGCCCTTTCTTAAAGGGTCCTTGGTCCCTTCTGCTGAAGTGGATGTCAGATCTTCCTCACCATCGGAGATGTCCTCTCCTTCCAGGGCCCTATTTTTATAGGGTTAGATATGTAAATGTTCAAGAACAGCTATACCAGAAACAGAACAATCCCATTGGTTGACATATAGGCTAAAATTAGCAAAACAGTGTATCAGCAGGGTCATGAGTTGGGTACAACAAGGAATATCTCCCCTGAGTTGATGGTCATAAGGTGTTCATAAGATGGACAAGAGAAAATGGTCCAGAGGTACAAAAATCATTTTAGGGGACTTTTCATGTAGTTGAGTCACCTCTGCCACACGGTACTTGGTTACCATGACAAGGAAAAACCAGGGCAGAGGGCCTTCAGCTAGTGATCTTACCATCTGCAGCCGCACAGTGCTGGAGCCAAACATACTTACAATCATAGCAAATGGATTGATACCGATTGGAGTAGAGTAGGGGGTCTTCAGTGATCAACTTCCTCCCCACTTTGGCTCTTGAACTACCATTGGTATGCTTCCATTTAGACAAGCCTAGGCACTAACAGCGATGGTATATTCTATCTTGAATATAACCTTTTACTTAACAATAAGGTGAAAGCAATAATAATAGAATCAAAAGTACTCATTTAAGTCAAATGCAGGGAAAATAAATACATCAGTTCACATATGAACCTGTCACGTTCTCCTACCAGTGCTTTCAGTATCTGTAGGACATCAGAAGCCCATGAAGGATGATTAAGGAAAACTCTGGGTAACTACAGTGGTTTCCTAGGCCATTATTCAGTATCTTATGTTAGAGGTTATTCAGAACTCAAGAGTTCAGACAAGCAATCCATTTAATAAAAATATTAGTCCTGTGTAAAAGCAGTCTTGAGAATAAAAGCTACCATCAAGTAGGTTAAAAGCAGTCTTCCAGAAAGTTCCCTGGGGGTCTCAGGAGCTCCCTGCCCAAGTCCTGAACATTGCTTTTGTACTCTCTTTGCCCAAAGGGCCCACAGGTGAGTCCCAGCTCCATCAATCTGGAAGCAGAGTTAACCCTGTAGGGCCCAGGTGTGCCCAAACAACTTCCATGGCTGCGATAGGACTAGCTGTTAGGAAAGTATATAAGAGTAATTCACACCTTCCCAATTCTCCCGGTTTTCTGGCCCACTACTCTCCTTCCTCGGATCCCTAGCTGCTTATAAATATCCAGTTTATAGCATCAACGGGTCTTCTCATGGTTGTCACAAAACTGGGGAGTGTGGGGGGGGGGGGCGTCCATCAGAATAGCTAAGTGGACCTAGCCCATTCCTTACTTGCTATCCACGTGGCCAGGACTCATGCTGCTTCTGCCCTACCCAGTTGGCTAGGCTCTCTCTACAGAGCAGAGGTCCACACAGGGCTGCTTCTAGCCTCCATACACCCTGTGATGTTCTCTAACTCAGGAACTTTCCATAACAATTACTCAATGAGCATAGCTTCTGTTTTGAACTGATGCTACCTTCACTGAGCTGAATTGAACCTCATTGTGCTTGACTAACTAGATGTGATGTTTTAGCCAAACATTGATTCCCTAGGTGACTTCTCTGATTCTCTGCTTTCAGTTTCTTCCTCTACTCAACTGGGCTTACTGCCCAAAAGCAAGTGAATGTTTCTGTCCCTGTAAGGTCAGCTGAAATCTGTCCTTTTATCGCTCTCATCTCTCTAGGTTCAGACTCAGAGACCTTTCTATAAATGACTTAGGGGGGTGGGCAGCTAGGTGGCACAGTAGATAGAGCTCCAGCCTTGCGTCAGGAAGACCTGAGTTCAAATCCGACCTCAGACACTTGACACTTACTAGCTGTGTGACCTTGGACAAGTCACTTAACCCCATTACCTCACCAAAAAGCAAAAACAAATGACTTATAGGTAACAATCAGGTTGTCATCTCTTTATAATCAATAAATGACATTTGTCCTTAATCATCAATAATTTAAGTATCTATCTTCCCTAATTGCTAACCCCAAATTATCCAATCCTCCATTTTCAAAACACTGCCGCAGATTGTGTCTTACATTAATCTAGTATTCTTCAGCTTGTCACATTCAAATGACCAGCTTCTGTCTCAGAACTATGAGTCAGATTTAACTTGAGCAATTATTCCTCTTAGAAATCTACACAGACCTAAGCTGAAGATAAGTGAACTGTCAAAGTAAATTTAACTTAGTGACTGCTTTTTTTTTTTCTTCCCTAGAAACAGACGTCCCACACAACCAAACTTTTACTACTTCACATATATAGCTGTATGGGTGTACAGGTAATCTTTTTTTTTTCCTGTGAGGCAATCTGGGTTAAGTGACTCACCTACAGTCACACAGCTAGTAAGTATCATGGGTCTGAGGCCAAATTTGAACTCCGTCCTCCTGATTCCAGGGTCCTTGCTCTATCTACTGCAGCACTACCTAGCTGCCCCTCAGATAATCTCTTCTGACCAAGTGTAAGTTCCTTGAGGGCAGGGCCTATTCCATTTGTGTCTTTGCGGGCCCAATGCTTAGCACAGGGTGGGAGCTTAATAAATGCTTATAGACTCCTGGAGTCTCATTGTTCC